CCTACGGGAAGCGGCAGCGGCACTACCTGCAGCCAGGGGAGGACGAGCAGGTGGCCTTCTGCACCGACGAATTCAGCGACATCTCCCCGCTGAGCGGGGGCAACGTGGCCTTCTCCACCCTCGAGGGACGGCCCAGTGCCTACAACTTCGACGGGAGCCCCGCGCTGCAGGTGCTGCTGGGGTTGGAGTGGGGTGGGTGCGTGGTCCCCCGGGACCGGGTGCACTGATGCAGCCAGGCGGGGTAAAAGCGCCTGTGATGCCCTGCATCCCAGTAAGAGAAGGTGCAGGCTGTGTCCCGGCTGGGGTGGCAGCTGTGTGCCCAGACCCCTGGCCAAGGCGCCTTCCCCGTGTCCCCTGCAGGAGTGGGTGACCGTCACCGACCTGCTCATCTCCTTGAACCGGCTCAACACATTCGGAGATGACATCTTCAAGGACCCCAAGGTGCTGCAGTCGTACTACTATGCCATCTCCGACTTCTCTGTTGGTGGCAGGTGAGGGGCAGCCAGGCTGGGGTGAGGGTAGGAGGGGGAGAGATCTTTCTGGGGCTGTGGGGCTGGGATTTGGGACAGATGCTCCCCACCTCAGTCTTGAGTTGCGGTTTTGGGCCAAACTGCTCAGATGTGGCTCCCTCCGTGTGTGAACCAGAGCTGGCAGTGCAGAGGCAGGTGGTGAAACCTGGATCCCTTCCTCCTGTGCACAGAGGAGGTCTTTTCCCCCCCAGCTCTCTCCATTTGCCACCATTTGTATTTGCTTTGCCCCCTCCCAGCCCTATGGCTTCTGATGGCACCGGGGCTCGTGTTGCTCCTCCTGTGGCCCTGTTTGTCCCTGGGCACAGCAAAAGTGGGGTCCTGGGGTGCCAGTGGAGAGATGCTCTGAGGCTGGTGGAGGAGCGTGGAGTTGGCTTGGCCACAGCCCGAGGAGCTGGAGCAGCTGCTGGCGGGATGGGGGAGCTGATGTGGGACAGAGACGTTGGTGACACCCATCTGGTGCTGCCCATGGGCTGTGCTGCACGTGCCCTTCCCTGGCTGGGGCTGCGGGAAAGCTCTGCATCCTGGTGAGAGCTGTCTCCCTCCATCCCAGCAGCTGGGGCTTGTTAGCATCTCGGCGGGGCCACCCTCGGCGTGTGACCTCCCAGTTGGCCGGGAGCCCCTCGGGGATGCGGTGGGTGGCCTTGACGCCGACACAGCGCAAGCTGCGTTCTGCCCCACTCCTTGCCCCATAGCTGG